CATGAATCAGTTCTACCTACGAAACAAAGAAGCAAATAAATTTCAAAAATTTCACCAACAGCGGTACCGTTCTGACACATATTATATAAATATTAGTTTTTGTAAATAACAAATCAGTAAAAACAATGCAAAACTAGCACGACGCCACACAATTATTTACATATGCCAATAACATAACCTCATTACTGATCTGAGGCTGAAACTGGAAATCTGTTGGGTTGGTACTTCCGAACTTCACGAAGAAATTGACGAAAATTAGAACATGCTCTAATTCGTCAAGAACTTGATGAATAAATTGATGAAGTTATTTGACAGCTGATTTGGTGCATTACACTTGTCCAATTTCTTGATGAAGCGACTTCATCAATTAATTGATCAGTAAATTGTCAATGTAAAACAGCTTTAAGTTTATTACAAACAACTGACGAATGGTGGAGGTTGAAGACTGAAAACGATGCGCGGTTTGCTATGTCTTACGATTTCCACTCATCTGAATTTGCTGGTTTACATATACCGTGGTTGAATAAGATAGTTACATATGCTGTGGAATGACAAATCATAGCCATCTTTTCCATTTTATGATTGTTTAATCACGTTCACCAATGGTAGTACTATAACTTTAACAATTATTTCTAGAAAACAAAGCTCAAATGCAAAAAATTTAAAAATGAACAAAATTAGTTTCTGAAAAAAAAAAATTAAATGCATAACTAGTATCTACTCTGTGCTAACTTGTCAAACTATTTTATTGATAATATTCAATTTAATTACCAAATTCTATTAAAATTAGCTTATGGGTTCTAAGGAGATCCCAGAGCTCCCAAGATTAGAAATAGAGAAAACAAAAAGTACGAATCAGAAAATTTCTCGATTTTTTTAATTATTTAGTTTAATAGTCGCTATAGATTTGTGTAATGTCTTTGTAATGTGTTGTTTTAAATTTAGCGAATACCATCCTGGTGTGGTTCTGCCTGGATTACTTCGCAGACTTCCTGTACCTGGTGGATATCATGTTCCACTTCCGAACGGGTTACCTAGAGGACGGAGTGCTTCAGACCGACTCAACGAAGCTCCGCCACCACTACATGAACTCCACCACCTTCTACATTGACTGTTTGTGCCTGTTACCACTAGACTTCCTCTACTTATCAGTGGGCTTCAACTCGATACTGCGCTCGTTTCGCCTGGTGAAAATCTACAGATTCTGGGCGTTCATGGACAGAACGGAGCGCCACACGAACTACCCGAATCTGTTCCGCTCGAGTAGTTTGATCCACTACCTCTTAGTTATTTTCCACTGGAACGGTTGTTTGTTCCATATCATATTAAAAAACGATGGTTTCGGCTCTAAAAATTGGGTGTACAGTGACTCCGAAAGTACTGACTATGTGAAAGCGTACCTACAAAGTTATTATTGGTGCACGCTGGCTTTGACCACCATCGGGGACCTTCCCAGGCCTAGGAACAAGGGAGAGTACCTCTTCGTTATCTTCCAGCTGCTCTTCGGCCTGCTGCTCTTCGCCACGGTGCTGGGCCACGTCGCCAACATCGTGACGTCGGTCTCGGCGGCTAGGAAGGAGTTCCAGGGTAAGTTCGTGCGCCACCCTCTGCTTTAGATGTATGCTATTTCGTTTCCTTTCCGTCATTCATAACATTCATGGATTTAGTACTTGGCTATTTATCAGAACTAGGTAACAGTCTCGTAGTAAATGTGAAATATGCCGCCGCAAGTCATACATTTTATATTAAAAACGGACGTCCATAAACATATCTGTTTACTTCCCACCGCTATTTATGATGGGGATCTTGAATTTCATCTCGGATATCAGGGTATTTATCACTTCGATGTGTCCATAAATGTAAATGATCCGAGAGCTCATAACTCAATCCAGTTTAATCCATCTTATTTAAAATTGCTGAATTTGAATGATCAAATTACAAAATGACATTAAACTTCACAATGAACTTTTGTTCAGTACAAATCTATTTCAAAATTTTTAAGATGGTAACATACCAACCACATTAGGAATAGATTTAAATTATTTGTAATGTTGGATATTCCAGAAGATTCAAAAGATATTTTTTGTTGCAACATTGCTGAATGAATTACTTAATTAATGATTTCATGTAGCTGATTGCTGTTAATATGCCTCATTATAGGATAAGGCAACTCCAACAATATTGGAGAATCTCTAATCAAATTTAATAAATGCATCACAGACTCCAGTTTATCTTATTACTTCCAATAGAATATCGTAATAGTTATACAGGGTGTTTTTGAATGGAGTAGCATAAATGATACCAGTGAATCTACATTTCAAAAGAACACGATCTGCAAAAAATCGCCTTAGTAAAATGTTCACCCCTGAAGAGATATGGGCCATCAAAGTTTCCAAAAAAATTATGAAAATTGGCTGTAATTTGAAAACCGAACGAGGTACAAATAACAAATTTTTTACAGGTTGTTTACTAATACAGATGCGAGTTTTCAACTATTTTTCGAAAATTTTAACCCCTCGAAAGGGGTTGAAATAACCACCCCTCAAGCCATTTTTTGCCATAACTTTTATATTTCGTAAAAACTCGATATCCAAAAATACGCATTAGATAAACTGGTTCTTTTAGAAACTTTTACCTCTCTAGCAATTTTCCTTTAAAACTTTTCGTTTATTAATAAAAAAATAAAATGTATTACCATTCACCTCACACCGTATATGATTGCAATCAATCAAAGAAAAACTAAGTGTGCTGCTGTCATGCCAGTTGTCACAATTAACTCTTCTGTAAGTTGTCACTGTTATCAGCTAAATACTTTTTGGGTGTAAATTAACAAGAATTATGCCAAATTTTACTAATGATGAATATGTGGACATGCTACAAGTGTTTTTTTCTACGATCGTGCAAAATTTACTACTTATTGCACTACCTACTGTGCCAAAAGTTTAACTTTTTTTACAGTAGTACAAAAAAAATATTGATTACAAGTTTAATCTAAGCATATCCATAAGTACCTAACGTCTGACATTGACAATTTGCGCAATTAATTTCCAGTTGTCAGTTAAAATTTTAATATTATGTAAAATACTGTTAAATAAAATTTGAAATAAAAACAATCGTAGAAAAAATGTTGCGTGCAACATGTGCAAAAAGCATATTTGTTGCACTTAACATGATTGCAGCTCTCAACTTCGTCTCGAGCTGCAAACTTCATGCATCGTACAACAAATACACACTCTTTACAGTAGTTGCACAAATAACTGTTTGAATGTCGCAGAAACTTTTATTAAATAGAAGTACAATGAAAACGAAACTAAGAAATAATTTATTATCAAAAAGAGAAAAAACAAAAAACTTAGTTAAAGGACATTTTCAAAATAATTGCCATTTCTTTCTAAACACAACCTAACACGTTTATCAAAGTTGTTACGGACTCGAGCAAAAATTATGGGATTGTTGCGAATCTCATCAGCCGCCGCGAATATTCTTTCCTGTAGCTCTTCAACACTGTCAACTGGGGTCGCATAAACAATACTTTTTATATGTCCCCAAAAGAAAAAATCCATGGGCGTTAGATCGGGAGAACGTGCAGGCCAAGAGATAGGTGCCTCATTGCCGCGACCTATCCAACGATTCGGGTAATTTAAATTAAGCCACCGCCTAACTACTACAGTGCTGTGAGCAGGAGCCCCGTCATGCATGTACCACATGGCCTGACGTACATTTAATGGTACTTCCTCCAGAAGTGGTGGTAGATGCTCATTTAAGAACTGCAAATATTCAACAGCACCAAGTCGATGAGGTAAAACAAAAGGGCCGACAAGCACATTTTCTACAATTCCTGCCCAAATGTTTAAACTAAAATTATGTTGAAATGTTGTCATAGATACTTCGTGAGGATTTTCATGAGCCCAGGAATGAAGATTGTGCATATTGGTTAAACCATGTCTTTGAAAAGTTGCTTCATCTGTGAAAAGTATCTTTGAGGCAAAATTCAAATTATTTCTTAGAATATTAAGATACGATTCGCAAAAAACAACTCGCTTATGCATGTCTGGTTCAAGTAGAGCTTGAACTGGCCGGTGGTGAAAAGGATATAATAAATTATCATGGACAATATTCCAAACAACACTATGGGACACATTTAAGTGCATTGCTGTTTTTCTCGTACTAGTCTGACGATTTTCGTCAAACTCTTCAAGTACTGCATCCTCAAGATAAATAGTACGAACAGTAGGTCTTCGGCCGGTACCCTCAATATGCGGCTGTATTTTTCCAGTTTCCCGAAGTCTTCGTTCTACCGCCGAAAAAGTTTGTCTGTGGGGAACTTGACGATTTGGATATCTCTCATTATACGCTCTTGTTGCCGCAGCACAGTTTTTGCGACATTCAAAATACACTTGTAGCATGTCCACATATTCATCATTAGTAAAATTTGGCATAATTCTTGTTAATTTACACCCAAAAAGTATTTAGCTGATAACAGTGACAACTTACAGAAGAGTTAATTGTGACAACTGGCATGACAGCAGCACACTTAGTTTTTCTTTGATTGATTGCAATCATATACGGTGTGAGGTGAATGGTAATACATTTTATTTTTTTATTAATAAACGAAAAGTTTTAAAGGAAAATTGCTAGAGAGGTAAAAGTTTCTAAAAGAACCAGTTTATCTAATGCGTATTTTTGGATATCGAGTTTTTACGAAATATAAAAGTTATGGCAAAAAATGGCTTGAGGGGTGGTTATTTCAACCCCTTTCGAGGGGTTAAAATTTTCGAAAAATAGTTGAAAACTCGCATCTGTATTAGTAAACAACCTGTAAAAAATTTGTTATTTGTACCTCGTTCGGTTTTCAAATTACAGCCAATTTTCATAATTTTTTTGGAAACTTTGATGGCCCATATCTCTTCAGGGGTGAACATTTTACTAAGGCCATTTTTTGCAGATCGTGTCCTTTTGAAATGTAGATTCACTGGTATCATTTATGCTACTCCATTCAAAAACACCCTGTATATAGAATAAGGTTGATACTTATCATAATTTACACAGGGTGTAAGAAGTTTGACTGCCATTACTTCAGCATGAAATACAGTTACATTAATGAACAAAAAAGTTGTATATTATAGGGGAATAAGATTAACAGTTTTCAAAATACTTTGAGCGAGTATTAATATTGGGGAGTTTTATCACAACCTGCCGATGCACACCACGTGTGCACGCGGCAGACTTGTCCTACGGAAAAAATGTAAACAACTATTATTGTGAAACATTTAGTAAATTTCAAGACAATTGTTTTCCAGTTTTTAAATAAATAAAATAAAATGTATCAATTTTGTAGTACGAAGATACTGTTGTGCTTAAATTTTAGTTCAAGTTTTAGTCATTATGAATCTGTTAAAACAGGAACTTAACATTTAATCAAATTATGCACATATTTGAAAAATATATAATTAAAGTACCTAAAGATTCACGTCGTCCAAATAATCATGCGTATTAAAAATAATTTAGGTGCTTACCAAAAAACAAATTCGGTCATTTTTAAACGCACAAGTACATATAAAATTACATCACCACCATTTTCGATGCATACACGACACCTTCGAATCCAATTTTCGCGCACTCGCTGGAAAACACCTCAAGAAAAGGAAGTGGTACGCAAAAAAAAACGACAAGGTTAAATCCAGATACCAACTGAATTGTGTATTGGTGGACAGCTTAGTACCTCGTGTTATTACAATCGCCGCGCCGCGCCATTGTCACATTGCTTGATATGAATTTTATTGAATTTTAAATTTGTTATAACGCTAATTATTTTTTAGAATTAAGCATAAAGAAGTTCAAAAAAAGTGCTAAACATTGTATTTTATGGTATTCTATGTACGCAGTTATGTCAATATTCCTTAATTAATCGAACTTTTGTCGAGTTTAGGACCGATGTCATATAAGTTTTTTTTTTGTTTATTTTAATATATTCTATCGTCTGTTAAAATTAAGGCAGTCAAACTTCCAACACCCTGTATATGATTATACTTAACCAAAGAGCACTTTTTCAAGAAAATGTTCTGAAAAGCCAGGCAAATTCGAGTTCGAGATTTTATTACGCATTCGTGGAACATTGGTAAGTAATAAAGTACTTAAGCACAATCAAGTGAAGAATATTATTAAAATACTGTGAAATTCATTCCTTTTGGGTCTGATTGACTATGGAAACGAATAGCAGCTACACTCGTAACGGTAAATCGTAGCTATTTATTTGGAAGAGATTGAACTATGCAGATTTATCTGACGTGAGGATGGAAAATCGTTTGGTTTGTACAGATATTTCTGCCACGTGGAAAGATTAAATCGCAGCGATTTTAACTGAGCGAGTTAAATCGCTGCGATTTGTCATTAGCTGTGTAGCGTAAGCTTTTCATCGACCAAGATAAATAAAATCATGTAATCCTTTTATTTGAGGTACAATGCAGTTTGTCAAAAAGCAGATTGAACAGTCAATAAAGAAATTTATCGAATGTACTTCTTTGTTTAGTCCTAGTTACAAATATTTGGTATTCCTTTTTATATCAGTTTCGAGAAAATAAAAAATA